CTCTTTGCCAATCACTAGGGATTCCGGTGTTTTCCTTAGGAAGATCTAGTAGTAGTCACTCGCAGAAATGCGCTGCCGAACCAGATACATTTCCAGTTCTATCATCCAGGCCAGTTCTCTTTCCCTGGCTTTGGGCCAAAGGAATGTAAAATGCAGAGTGGATTCTGAGAAACATGGTAGCCTGCTCCAGTTTGTGAGATGAATTACTTTTACTGCCTTTAAGTTAAGCAGTCGGCTTTAAAGTCATCTTTGCAAACACATATCCACAGATGAACACAGAGAAAAAGCCTTTATCCCTAGTAGGCGACGAGCAGGCTGGCTGTATGTCCCAGGTCTGCATTCGGAGCTGACCAACTCCGCTTCTCCCATCTGAAATCAAATGTTGTTCTGCACGGAATACTCTTTAGCCAGTTGCTGCTAGATTTCAGGCCTGAAGTAATTCTTCCTGCAAATTCCAGTCTCAGTTTTTGTGCACAGTAGCATACAGCAGTGACAAGAAACTCCTTTTTGATTTAATTTCACTGTACTTCGTGGTTGTCCGTGCCATTTGTGTCATTTTGTGCCAGTAATTTTACTGTTTTAATTTTCATTTTGGGCCTTTCTTGCTCAGGATGTATCTCTGTTCTCTCAGAACTACCTTGGAGTTTAAAATAGTCATCCATTATCCTGTGTCCCAGCCATTTTTTTCCTTACAATCTTTTAACATCATTCTTGTGCTTGAGATGGAAGGAAAACATCCTACAACACTACAAAAAAAAAAAAAAAAAAAAGCATGCAGTGTTAGGGGGATTATGATTTTCAGGTTTGAAACTCTGTATCACCAGTTGGAGAGGGAAAAAAAGGAAAAAAAAAAAAAAAAAGCCAAAGCAGACAAGTACTGTTTCATATTAACATCTATTCTCAATGAAGAGGTAAAAATCAAAGCCCCTGTGTGTGAGGCAGGGTTAGTGAACTGCCAGTGATTCTCCCAGCAACTGACACAAAGGAATCTGTGAGTATCAAAGCTGAGGCAGCAAGCTTAGTGTCAGCTCTTGCCTAGGGAGTAGAAGAAAACATCACTTTGTCTCTGCTTTCACTGCTTAAACACACACATCATTCACTAGTAACCATTTACTCTGCTGTCAAAACTGTTTCAAGAGAGTGCTACATTTGATTAATAGTAAAATGCATGCATGCAAAAAAAAGTATGCCTCCCCTGAGGTACTTATTTTAGAGAATTTTTGCATGTACTTTTTAATTTTTCCATGCTATAAATATGCCTGTAATATTCCAAGAGTGCTGCATTGCTTGTGGTAAAGTCCTTTTTATTTAGAAAGCCTAGTGCACTAACCCTAATTCTAGTTAATGCCTTTTCTCATTGAGGCATGTCACAACATCCTCAGACTCTTGTGCTAAAGAAAAAGTGACCAGCACAAACGTGTGTAGCACATGATTCATAGTGCTTCTCTCTGAATTGTCCAGTGGGTAATTGCAGTACAAAAACCAGAGAAACAGATGTAGACCCTAAACCTTGGCTGTAAATTTTTGTTTTATGATTATGGGTTTCAAATGTGCTATGTCACACTGACAAATATACAGTAACACCAAAGGAAATAGATTTCTGACTTGAACTTTTGCTTTTTATTTCGCTTATGGCTAAGAATATGTTTATTGTAAAGTTTCTGCCATTGCAGTCTGAGAGAAAACAGATCAAGGCAGTGATGTGAAATCACAATTTCTTTGCATGGATAAAGGGGAAGAAATCAGAGCGAAGTTTCCTGCTTGCTGCACCTCCATATGAGCTGGGTAGACATTTAAAATATGTGGCATTACTTAAAGTTTCATTACATTTGAATTAGAGGGCTATTAGTTATCACAATAATTGTGGTTAGTCCTGATCTCAATTAGAAAATACCCACTGCTTTATGAGTGTAGCTTTTCCTGATACTCTGTTTAAAAAACCGCAAGTATCGTGCTATTTCAAAGTGAAATATGAGATACATAAATTACTGTATCGTAGAAATAGTATATGAGCGAATGATTGGACTATTTGAAGAATTCATTAATTACATGGGGTTTTTGTAATAAGTGTAAGCATTAGCACAACTATTATTCGTAGTAAAACATGATGAGCTACCTGGCTCATTTAAATACAGTGTGAAAAAGCAATCTTTTTCAATTCGTATGCAGCTATGCATGACTTCCTGACGCTTACTTTCAGAAGTTGCCAGTCTACATTTTGCAGCAAAACGGGCAGGTTTTATTTATAAATTCAGTTTTAGAAGACTGGTAATGGAATAAACAGAAGCGAATTTCTGTTTGTATGATTTTATTTATTTTAACTCACACGGGCAATATGTTTTTCTTGGCTTCAGCTTAAACTGTTCCAAGAGCCCTGGTCTGCACAAAATGCTATTTTCTCTCTAAATCAGAGACTGACAAAACATACTGTGTTTTGTATGATCCCTTCAAGTTATTTTTGTGATGACGCATTGCATATTCCAAACTTCTCGTGCATGCTGTATCATTTGGTTAGAAAATGCTGCCTTCTAATTTAGCTCTGTTACTCAAAACAAGCCAAATTCCAGCAATATGGACAGCTGAGCTTGTAACAGAAATTTAACCACTTTTTCACTTGCCATTTTGCTACAGAGAATTCTGCTTACTGGCCTGAAATTGTTTAAACAAGCTTTCCCTAAAAGATGACTTTTTGGATAAACATGTGCTGTACGTAATTTTCAGGTTACAGAGTGTCAGGGACTTCATTGGCTTGAGGACTTTCCAGCATGAGGGAGAACATCCTGACAAACTTACAAAGTCCTTAAAAACACAGTGTTAAAAGCCAGCTTTTTCACTCTTCTACCTAGAGGGAAGGTGGAAAGAGATGCTGCCTGCTGCTAGAGTTCTGCTATCCAAGGGGAAAAAAAACGTTAAGAAAGCTTTTGTTTTTATCTCTTCCAGATTACAACAGGTCTTTTTCTGGCTGCTTGTTTGCAATATGGATGTATCAGTTTCAAGGGAGCAAGTGTGTGGGGGTCTTCTTTGTTTTTTATTTAAATTCCTGAACCTTTGTGAGAAGTTTTGTTAATACAATCTACAGGCATTGTCACAGAGCTCTCAGTTCATCAAAGGACTTTTTGTAGAGAGGACATCACATCCATTAAACTGGTTGCACAGGTCCCAGAGTGAATCTCTCTCCAGTATTTCTTTACAGTCCTCAATTGTGCCTTTGCCCTGCACGTTGTCCCTTGCTCTGCCAGGCTCTGATTTTGGGATTTGAGAAAACATGCAGTAATGGAGTGTTTCATTTTCCAGTTTTCCAACCTGAGCTAGCTTTTGATTTTCACAAAATGCTGAGAAGCCACACAAGTGTCTGGAGGGCAGAAGGGAGGAACGGCTGAAAGGCAGAGAAAGGAATCTTGCCTCTCCTGGAACCAGGCTCCTTTGTGCCTCTGGAAATCACGCCCTGGGCTCCTCAGGGCTGTGCACGCTCACTCTGCCAGATCCTTGGTGCATTTGCTGAAAGTAAAAGCATACATGTGGTGATTTAGCTTATGCCCTTTCCAATGGGGCAGAGGGAGCATTTCCAGGCCCCTCAATGTTATTTTCCACTTTTAAAGCGTCTGTAGGAATAAGGTGTTGGTGAACTCTCTTTGGAAGCAAGACTTTGCAGAGGATGATTATTAAGAGAAGGTGGCTTTGCGCTGGCTTGGTGCAAAGGGTAGGCCAGCAGAGAGCCATGCACATGGTGCTGGCACATGGGCAGCCCTGGCAAGGCCTTGCAACCACAAGGGAGGGATGCCAGAAATGCTGCTGCATGGGCACTGGGGTGGGTCTCCAGCCATGAAGTGAAGGCAGGGATAACCCAGTACCTTCAAAATGTTGGTGAGGGAAGACATGGCAGCCTCTGCAGTGCATGGATGTAAGGGACAGCTGGATGCTCTGCCTGGGGGCATCTGTGGCCTCCTCTCACCAATAACTGTGGAGAGCAGGATAAGCACCAGGTAGGTCTGGACCCCACAAAGAAGCCCATTGCCTTTTTCCCCTCTCACCCTCCTGGTAGCTGGGGCTCATTAGCTGTGTGAAAGCTGATACAGTCCCTCCAGGGCCACGCGAGCCAGCCCTGCCCCTCTCAGCTAATCAGAGACAGGCAAGACCTGGGATGGCGGCCAGGATGGGAGATGAGGGAGTTGCCTCCCACCCCCAGCTGGGCTGTGGTCTCACCGTTCTGGGCCTGCATGGGCATGCTGCAGGGACACATCCCAGACCAGTGGGCAAGCCTGGGAACATTGAGCAGTGTGGCCTGAGTCCTTTGCAGAGAGATGGGCATCTGCAGACCCCCTCACAGCAGGGATAGGCACACGAGGAGCAGGGCTGTGCCAGCCATCCCTTTGTGGGTGGCACCAAGCAGCGGTGCCTTTTCGGGGTGAGTCTGCTCCGCGCTGCCCCTAAACTGGGGTGTTGCCTGTGGCTGTGGCTCTGGTGCAGCAGTGGACGCCTGGGCGTCGCTCATGGCCTCTCCAGGGGAGCAAAAGAATGTGGCTGGGGGAGAAGGGAACGGGGCAGGGGCACCGAAGTTTCAGCACACAGAGCTGAGATGGGCAAACCCCCCCGCTCGCAGCAACCACCTAAAGCAGCGCTGTGCAAACAGCCTCCCGGCCGACGCAGGGCCTGTTTCTATTCCCAGCATGATTCTCCTCCTCCTGATTTTTTTTTTAATTTTTTTTTTTTTTAAAATTTAAATTTTATTTTTTCTTCACCTCCCTGCTTGCTATTGCTGGTCCCGACGAAGCGGGGTGACCCGGGGAGGGCCACGCTGTCCCTCACCGCCCGCTGCCTGCTCGCTGCCGGGCTGCTGGGAGTTTTTAAGCCGTGTGAGAATCCTGGGAGCTGGTGATGTCAGACGCCTGGGTCATTTGAAGGTTAGCAGCCTGGGAAGGGTTCACAGAAAGTTCACTCGCATATATTAGGCAATTCAATCTTTCATTCTGTGTGACACAAGTAGTAGGAAGTGAGCTGTTCAGAGGCAGAAGGATCTATTCATGGCTGAGGGGGATCCAGAGGTCCTACCGGAGCTGTTTCGACCCCGGGACTCGGCCGTCTTCACGGCGCGAGGAGCTGCAGGCAGCCGGCAAGCGCCTGAGGAGCGGGACTGGTTCTAGAGAGATTTTGGGGGAGATTGAACGGAGCTAAAACTTGGAATGCGGCTTGCTTCCCCCCATCTTGCTGGATTGGCTGGGCAGCCTGGAAAATGGTAAATGATCATTTGGATCAATTACAGGCTTTTAGCTGTGTTGTCTGTCATAATTCATGATTCTGGTCTGGGAAAAAGACCAACAGCCTACGTGCCAAAAAAGGGGCAGAGTTTGATGGAGTTGGGTGTACTTTTATGTGCCATTTTCCTCCACACCTAGAGGAAAGCACTTTTGCAGGCATTCTGTACAGGGGGAATCATGTTTGACTGTATGGATGTTCTAGCAGTGAGCCCTGCTCAGATGCTGGATTTCTACACTGCGAGTCCGTCTTCCTGCATGCTCCAGGAGAAGGCTCTCAAAGCATGCTTCAGTGGATTGGCACAAACAGAGTGGCAACACCGGCACAGTGCTCAATGTAGGTCCCAACTGTTCTTTTTCCACTTTAAAGCAATTATTATTATTTGCATGTATGTAAAAAAAATACTTTTAATTAAGTGCAGGGGTGATGAGGGGTGGGGGGAATTTTTGTGCAGAATGTGCTTTGCAAGCCTTTTTTTTCCTTTAGCCAGGAGGGAAAAAGAAAAGAAAGCGCTGAGCTGTTTTCTGTTTATCCCTTCTTATGTAGTATATTGATCCTTACAACAGTTCTGAAGCCAAGAAGGAACACATAAAATTGTAATACTATACAACATTTGTAAAACTCCAACCAGTGAAGGACGAATTTACATAGCATATCTGTAGTAGTTTTTTTTTTTTTTTTTTCTTTGCTTCCTTAATCTAATTTTGCACCACATTTGATAATCTGGATGCTTGTTGTCTTGAAGTGCATTTCTGCAGAGCAGCCAAGCAATTGAAATGCTGCTCTGTGCAGTTCTTACAAAGCCATTGAATTGTACTGGGTAGGTGCCATTCCAAAAATCAGACAGTAGTTTTAAGTTTCTGAAGAAAAGGCAATATTTCTTTGTACTGACCTTGCTGCCACCTTTCTTCTTCACTTTGTTGCTCTAAGAAGTTGCTGTTTTGCTATAAAACTACTCACTGTGAGCACCCTTTGAGTTTAAACATCAATTATTTCTATACCTTGAGATTCAGGCAGTGTTACACTGGTAATGGAGGAAGAAGAGTTAGTGGTGGGACACTTAAGAAAACATGTTATTATGTTAGAGAGTCTTGATCTTGTACTGAAATACATAGGTAGTAAACTGATAGTATTTTAACTCCACAATTTCAAGTTTGAGAAAGAAGTGCCAGAAAGCATCCCCTTATACTCTGCATAAAAGCTTGCAGGATGCTTCACTGCTCTGACGGTGATTTAGATAAATGACTTGGCTATCTATCAAAATGTTTTTAGCACGCTCTCAGGCACTCCAGTACACCATTAACTGTCTGATTGTTTGAAATTTTTGTTTTGCAGTGTGTTAAAAAGTTGCCTGGAATTAGAATAGTTCTCCCTTCAATACAGTTAATCTCAAGGCGGGGGGGGAATGGATTAAAAAAATAAATTTAACAAATGGTCGATGAAGTAATGCGTTCTTCACTCTTCTCAAAAGTTTTCAGTCAGCAAATGACATTTGTGTGGGTTGAGTAAGGAAAACAGAACTGCAGAAATCAATGACTACCAGCCTACGACACTGCAAATATTTTGATGTCTTTACAATTAAAATTAGACTGTGAAGTTCAGCATGGGATGTTTATTTTCTCCACGCTGTTCTCAAAATGCTTCAAACAAGACGTGAAACAAAGCTCTTTCTTCAAAATACTGTTACTAGCTCAGGGCAAGCTTCAGTTAGAGGCGAAAAAAAACCAAACAGATGTTTCACTAAAAATGTGATTTTTTTCTGCTGTGGAAGGAACTTTCCTATAACTTCGGCAGCGATATCGTGGAAACTCAGAATTAAACTTTCCTGAAGTAGGAGGAATAAGCTATCATAAAAAACCTTCATTTGCAAAATATTCTTAAATACCTTCTGGTTTAAAAATCTCCTGTTCATTCTTTTTTTTTTCTTTTTTTTTCTTTTTTTTTTAATAACCAGAGGCACGATTCTTAAGAACAAAATATATGATGTTTGTTCTTGGACAAGTTAAACACGGGATTACCCTTATCGGAATGGAATGAGTGGTAAATATGTCATTTGCTTAGGGCCTGCGATAAGAGACGAGTGTTGATAACGGCAAAGTTTAGCTACTCAGAGAAACTAATATTTACAGGAGTAAATAGAAAAATACAGGGCAAATGCATTCAGGAATCCAGACTCCTAACTTTGTGAGGAATGGGATTAATCTTCACTGCACGGGAATCTAAAGTCAGGATGAAACCTGAATTATAATCTGGTACATATCGCTGTAATTTGAACTGTGAAATTTAATGGTATGTGTATATGGAAAAGCAATTCAGTGAGAGTCTAAATGAAGAATTCTATTTGATTTCTAGAGCAGGTGGTGATTTTAGTTTTGGAAAAATAATAAGCACTTTATGCTTGTGGATAAATATATGTACGCGGATGATAAAATAGTAAAATTCTGTCAGCATTTAATATTTGATTTTGTATCTCCTGAAAATAATGTCAAAAACCAGAATTTTTGCGGCAGAGAAAACTTTCAGTGGTTTAAAGGTTGCTCCAGTGATTACGAATACAAAGATAACAATGGTTAATTTGAACTGAAGTGTTTCCTGATTCTTCCTTTTTATGAAGACCTCAGTGATTTAATGAAATGTAATCGTAGCCAAATTTTGAAATTATTAGACATGTAATAGCTTGGGTTTTTTTTTTTTTTTTGTCTAGTTTGTTGTTTTATTTTTGGCTCTCCCATAAAAGCAGTACACCTGCAGCCATAGCTTTAGGCCTGCGAAATATTGCTTTGATAGAGATGTGATTGCAGAGTAAAAGGTAAATGGTTGTTAAGGGAATAATACCTGAACAGTGCAGCCTCAGAACAGCCCAGCAACAGTCCTAGCATCAAGGTTTCAGCTGAAATATTCGCAAAATTGGCTACTGCAGAGGTTAAGGCAGATCGCTGCGGGTTTCAACTTCAGCACATCTTCAGGATGTTAATCCCATTACAATTCACTAAGCCAACGCACTCCTGCAACATCACAAATTTTGTAGTCCATGAGGGTCTGCAAAGTGAAGCAGAGGGTAAGATGCAACCCAAACATGACCTTAACTTGTGTGGCATTTTTTTCCTCCCCCCGTGGGAGGAAAAGCATGCTATGGGTCTGCAATCCCAACGCTAGCCACTGTGTACTGTAAGATGTGCTACACACAAACTGTATACATTTGTGTACTCACACGTGTTTATATTTTATCTGATGCTTCTTACCTCGTTATAGGCTTAAAGAGAAGTTATTTATTTACAAAGGAAATTGTGGACTCAAGGATGACACTAGAAACTGACTGCGGTTTTAATCATGAGTAATTCTCCTTTTCTCCTAAGATAAAAATCAGGTTGAGATAATCAAATTAGAGGAGAATAGTTCTTGAGAGGACAAAAATGACTGAAGTTAAGATAGCAGGAATGATTAATTTATACTTCAAGACAGATGGAATTTTTTGCTCCCTTACTGTGTAGTGACAACAATTACCGAGAGAAAACAACTAACTTTTGGTGAAATGAGAGCTAACTCAATGGTGCAGAAGTGGGAACGGGACAAGCCCTGAGAGGGAATGAGATGCAAAGCAGAGTGATTTTCCTTTGGCCTTGGAAAAGCATTAAAAAAAATCTTCATTAGTCTTCATTAATTAAAGAAGTGAAAAACAAATGAGAAGGCACAAAGCCAGAATAAGTTTGCTTGGTAGTATGTAGTATTTTAGCTGATAATATCATGAAATACTACTACCTGCTGTGTTCTGCTATGTTCAGAAGAGTACGGAGTATGAGGAAGGCAAAAGTTAAGCACATGGCGACAGAGTGCGGCATGACGTGGGCACTCCTGTAGCATGCATTTGTTGTTTGGGTCCTCTGGGAAGTGTTGATCTGGAGAGGTCTAGAAGGTATTCACTTCCAGAAAGTTTGTCAAGATGGAAATCCACAAGGCATACATTTTACTTCTGAATTCCATTTGGGCCGGGTTCTTGTTACCTGCAAACACTGGGAGCACTGGAAACATCTGCGCTCAACAGAAAAAAAGAAAAGGAAAAAAAAACTTTTTCTTTTATCTTTCTGAATTTAAAAACAAACATTTTGAAGTAAGGACTTGTAATCTGCATTCCCAGGTATCAAATTGCTGCAGGTGTGTTTGCTAGTGCCCAAAAGGCAAGATCTGTTTGAACCAGGTTATTTTCTTTAAAGTTCATGTAAAAACTTTACATTGTAATCATTAGAACTGATACGCGTAGGAATAGAGTATGTATTTCGTTTTTTGTACTTGTGGCTTAATGCCCTGAAATATGTGATGAGAAGTATTTGTTTCTGATCCTCTTCAATACGCAGATTTTCTCACTCAAAACGTCACAGGGGGATATTTTTCTTCCAAATGAATTGAGATGAGAGCAACCAGTCTTCTACGTAGGCTCTCATCTAGGCCGCCCGATTCATCCGTTGGCGCAGGAAAACTCTAATGGACATGCACTGCTGTCAAAAACTCCCGCAGATAAAAATGATGAGAGGCATTCGCTGGTGAAGCCGGGGTGGGATAAGCTTGGAGGAAAAGCAATGTATCTTTGGGTGACTCCCCGCTTGCCTAATGCGTCTGTGCAGTGAAGGTGTAACTTGTCAGAACAAAGCTAGCCTGCTGCAGCGCTGCCTCGCAGAGGTTACGCTGAAGTTAAGGAGTTGAAAGGGAGAGATAATGTTTCAGACAGCCAAGTTAGTCATCCTCACATCCAGCTAAATCCCCACTTACTGCTGAGAGCGCTTCCCAGAGCTGCGTTTGCTAAGCGTGCCAATGTCGTGCCTGCACGGCTGCCAGGGCCACAGCTTTGGCTGGTGTGTGGGGAGCCGGGCAGCCCGCTGGGCAGGTTGGGCCCACATGGCCCCCTGTGCTCCGATCTAATTCACGCACCGCCCCGCACACAGCTGAAGCTCTGTGACTGTGCTGCGCAACCGGCGTTTGGGTTTGGGAGCCTGTTTGTGAAAGACATGCCGTGCTGGAAAGGGCTGTGGCCGTCCGCCCGTCCCACTGAAACCTTAAAAGCGAGTGGAGCTGCGATGAGTTCTCAGGTCCGCCCAGCCACGGGGGCCAGCGCTGGTGTGTGTGTGAGCAGGGGGCCCGTCCCTAGCCCCTTCCCCACTGTCTGCCCTGGCAGGAGGTCCCACAGTGGGTGGCTCCCACCCCGGTGAGGCAGCGGTGCACAGCCCCACGAGGAAGGATGTCGGTGGATGTATAAAATGGCCAAGGAACTTCAGTAAATAGACTTTACCCTTCAGGATCCACGGATCCTGGCAGCGGCTGCGAGGGAGGGTGGGGTTGTACTT